TGGATTTCTGACTTATTGAAGTTACATACATAAAAAATTACATGCTACTAATGATGTATAAAATTTTTGTTCAGCTTTGGGGCTGCGGTGTTTATGGGAGTGACTGTTTGTGCTTACATCCTCACATTATTCGCAGTATGTTACCAGTTAATTTAGTATTCTCACAATGTTTTTCCTCAAACATACATTGTGTGTTTAGTATATGTTTTTATTTCACAACTTTTCAGATGAAACATAGAGAAAGGGTTCTCGGTTTGATTCTTTTCTAACCGCTATGCAAGCCTCCATCTTGGTCTGAAAGTATTTAAGTCAAGATTCCATAGTCAAATATAGCACAAGTTGCAGAAGAGACAGTGTTCTCATTTCTTTTCTTTCTTTTTTTTTGTTTTGATTCATCAATGTACAGATCTGTGTATATCCACTTAATGAAATAGCTACAATTGGTAATGTCCACAACTGCTTATTGAGAGGAAATGTGTACACGTTATGTGGTTTCTTTTTGTTTTTTTTTTTTTTTGTCTGCCGCCCATCTAAAATTAGATTAACTGGTAATCAGACGAGTCGATCCTCCTAGGAGAATCTCCGTTTGGACTGGTCTGATCTATATGGAAAAAAATAAATCCTTTCCTTCTCGCCTCTTTAGTTAAACCATCCGCTCGATCATTCCGACTTCGAGGAATATGAGTAATCCTCATATCCTCAAAGTCCTCCTGTAGTCTCTTAAGCCTCTCTATCTCTTTTGTGAAGGTTGGCAATTCCTCCGGATTAGTAGACATGTCTACTAAATCCGCACAGTCCGTCTCAATCCTCACCGAGTTGATCCACAAGTCTCTCAAGCATGAGACTGTCCAGAGTACCCCTTCCATCTCTGCATGCAAGGCTGACCAACTTCTCCTACACGCCCGCTGTCCGACCCATTCATGACCCATTAGATCCGTAAAACACCACCCTAACCCACTAACGCTGCCATGATCGATCCATGATGCATCAATTTGACAGGTCGGGATTCGGGGGTTCTCAGAGGGTTTTGTCTGGATCTCCAAGGAGAAAGGAACCTCAGAAGCCTCATTGATTTCCTCTCTTATGTTCGCTTTTCTCCAACACTCTGCCTCAAGAGACGCGTGTTGGAGAGTATCCATTGGGGAAACGACTTTCCCATTAAAGAGTTTGTCGTTCCTTGCCTTCCAAATGTACCAGCAGACCATGGGAAGGTGTCAAATTGTGGACTCCGTGGAGCCACCTCTTTTCTTTTCCAAAAAAGGAAGTCTATATTTTGATATATAGAAGTACTTGGGGAAGACACCCGGAATGGACAGATAGTCCGATAAAGCCCAAACCTGCGAGGCAGGGGGGCACTCAAAGATAAGGTGGTTAATTGACTCCACTGGGCCAGCACATCTAGGACAACTCTATCGGTGCCCAGGTGTCTGTAGTTGAGTCTCTCTGCTGTCGCCACACAGCCTGAGATAGCTTGCCACAAGAAGTGCTTCATCTTGTTTGGAGCCTCTATCTTCCACACGTGGCTCTGGAGGCCTGTGATACTCGGTTGGAGCACAAATTCATGTGTAGGCCTTGGTGTGTTCGATTGCAGTAGTTCATAGCCTGTTTTAACAGAGTATACTCCTGTCTTTGTGTGGTCCCACACATGTCCATCCAGAGCAGACGAGCATGAGGGTTTAACCCAAGGATGAGGTATATCCTCAGGCCGGAAATATTCTCTCAAAAGTTGTGTATCCCACTCCTTGGTATCATTCCCAATAAGGGCTTGAACCGGGAGGCTGGGGAGTCTATAGACACTATGATCAGCAGGCCTTGGTGGCCGGGCCACCGAGTCGGGGATCCAGTGTTTGCTCCAAACACTCATGTCTCGACCCGAACCAATCCTCTTTCGTAGTCCGGAAATGAGTAGAGGTTTTGCTGCCATAATACTGCGCCAGCCATAAGAAGGGGAGTATATTCGTTGGTCTTCTAAAGGAGAGGTGTTGTAATAGTACCTCCCTTTTAGGACACGTGCTAGTAGTGTATCAATCGCCATAATTGTTTCGCAAGAAGTGCTAAGTTGAAATCATGGAGATCACGAAAACCTAGTCCCCCTAAATCCTTAGGAGTACAGATTTCGTCCCATGATATCCTATGTAAACCTCTGCTGTTTTGTTTTAAGCTCCACCAAAAATTTGAATTCGTGCATCGTAGTCTATCAGTGATGCCTTGAGGGATCAAATAACACGACATCGAATATGTCGGAATTGCTTGGGCCACCGCTTTAATCTGGATCTCTTTTCCCCCTTTGTACAGTAATCTGGAAGACCAATTGTTTACTCGTCCATTTAGCCGATCTTGTATGTATGAAAAAACTTTAGTTTTCGAGCCACAGATCTGTTCAAGCAGTCCAAGGTACATCCCCATACCTCCTTCGGTCGAGAAGCCTAAGGCCTCTTTTATCTCCGTTTCCGATGGTATTCTACACGGTTCCCGAAGAACATCAATGATTTTGTCGCATTTAATCTTTGTCCCGATGCTTTCCCATAAATGTCTATGATGTCTATGATCTCCTTACATTGGCTAGTTTCCGCCTTGCAGAAGAAAAGACTGTCGTTCGCAAATAATAGATGGGAGGTCCTTGGGCTCGCTTGTCCCACCCGAAGACCCACAATCTTCTTCTCCGCCTCTGCTCCATTCAACAGCGAGATTAAAGCTTCTGTGCACAGGATGAAGAGGAAGGGGGACAGGGGGTCTCCTTGTCTCAGGCCCCTCCTTGGAAGGATACGGCCTCTCGGTTGTCCATTGACTAGAACTTGATATGAAACCGACGTGACGCAACACATAATGAGGTCAACCAGTCTTTCATCAAAGCCTATCTTTGACATCATAGTAGCCAAAAAAATCCATTTACACTCTATCAAAAGCTTTGCTCATATCAGTCTTGGTGGCCATGAAGTCTTTCCTACATCTTTTGTTTGTCCGTAGAGCGTGAAAGTTCTCTTGGGCTATCAGGATGTTATCAGTGATTAAACGTTTAGCCACAAAAGCTGATTGTGTCTGTGAGATCAGTCGCGGAATTAGCCTCTTAAGTCTCTTGCATATTAGTTTAGATATAATCTTATAGCTAACATTGCAGAGGCTAATAGGTCTAAACTCCGCCATTTCTCGAGGTTTCTTCGTCTTCGGTATAAGACATATATTCGTCTGGTTCAAGAGTGGATCAAAGCTGCCAGTCTCAAAGAAATCTTGTACCAGTCGAGTGATATCTTGGCGCATCTTACTCCAGAATTTCTGGAAAAGCTTACTAGTCATACCATCCGGTCCTGGTGCTTTATCCAGGTTAATATCAAAAAGGGCTCTCTGAATCTCCTGTTCCGATGGTACCTTTAAGAGTAACCTATTGTCGGCCTGGGATACTTTTTATGTAATGAACCGAAGGGAGGTGTCAACCTCTGTCGGAGAGGAGGTAGAGAAGAGATCTCGAAAGTATTTAACCACAACGGTCTCCACCTCGATTTCACTCTCTACCAACCTCCCATGTTTGTCTTTATACTTATGATTCGATTATGTGCTCCTCGTTTGTTTGTAGTGGCGTGATGGAATTTTGTGTTTTTATCCCCATACTTATGCCATTGGTCTCTACTCTTTTGTTCCTAGAATGTGTTCTCATCTCTAAATGCCGTTATCAATTGCCGCCTCAAATCTTCTAGCTCCTCAGACGTGGAATTTTCATCATCTTGGGCCAAGTCAATCCTGTTTTTTAAGTTTTCAATCAGGACTGCTGAATTTGTCGGATTGTTTTTTCCAAGTACTGATCTTGTACCGGCATGAGGTAACTTTTTGATGAAAATTCCGGACATGAATGTCATCAAATTGTCCCCATCCCGAAATCACCGCTTCCTTAAATCCCGGCTTGCCTATCCACCTCTTGTCGAATCTAAAATTCTTCTTTTTAGTACACCGAGATGATGATTGAATCCTTGTAAGGACTGGTCTATGATCCGACCCCCATAGCTGTAAATATTCCACAATACTATGGTTAAACAGGTCGTGCCATTCTTCATTTGCCACTGCTCTATCAAGTTTGCATTTAACTTTTCCATTTTTCCTTTTCCCACCCATGAGAACGAGTTTCCTTTAAATGGAAAGTCAAGCATTCCACAGTTTTCCAACATGATTCGGAAAGGGAGGAAAGAACTCTCTGAGCGACGTCTTCCTCCCCTCTTTTCATGGTTGCCTGTGAGCTCGTTGAAATCTCCAATCATAAACCACGCGCCTGTACAGGTTGTACTCATACGTGACAGTCGTTCCCAAACCAAATCACGATATCTGGTGTCAGGTTCTCCATACAAAAATGTCATAAAAATAGCATGTCCTTCAAGTCTAGTTTCAATATCGATCATATGCTCATCCGCATATAAAATACGGACCGAGGGATCATCCATATAGAAAAGTGCTAGACCACAGCTTCGACCCACCGGGTCAACGGTACAAACATGGTCATATCCAAAAGAAACTTGCACATCTTGCATAAAATTCCGATTGTTTTTAGTCTCCGACAGAAAAAATAAATTTACGTAAAAAACAGTAAAACAACTCATGTAGGTGCTCCTTGGTCAAGGGTAATCTCGCCCCTTGACAGTTCCATGCGATTGTGTTCATCTCGGGATCTTCGGGGGTTTATTGTTTCCCCCCTTTACTGCCATGTTTTGATTTTTTTTGAACCTTTTTTGTTGATTCCTTAGGGTGAAAAGCCCGGCCCAAAGATGGTGAACTTTCCATTGCTGCCACAGGTGGGCTTTAGTAGCATTAGACATGTTTGGTGAGGCCCGGCCCATCACCAACATTCTCTTCTTCAGCGAGAGGCCTGCCGCGTTGGGATTCGGTGATCCCTTCTTCTTCGACGCCGATAGGCCAGGCGTGAACGGTGGCGTGCGACCTGGGAGCTTCTTCTTGGCCTGCTTCTTTAATTCTGGATCAATTCCAGCCTTTGGGTTTCTTGTCTCTGGGCTCCCTTTCTACCACCGGGGAATTTCATGCTTTGTCGATGCCTTTTCCTCTGTAGAACCCGGCTTCTTAACCTCCTCTTCCTCCTCCATCAGGAGATCGTCTTCCTCCATCATCTCCTCTATATCGAAACTTCCATCTTCGTCCTCCCAATCCTCATCCTCCATAATATTTTCTGCATCAAGGTCCTCCAAGTCTGTGGACTGTTCCTCCATAGCTCTCTCTGTGGTTAGTCGAGGTTCGTGTATCACTTCATTCTCTTCTTCTTCCACAGTTTGATCATACCAACTTTTGAATTTTTAACTCCAGGGACCTTTAGAGCTGGAGGAATTATGGCGCATGCAGCAGGATTAACATCATTCTCGAAAGTTAAGCTTTTCTTGGCTGAGCTTCCCGCATCAGAGAACTCTTCAAGGTCTGATACTTTTTCCTTTTGTTTCTGTTCCACTGTTAGCTTCTTATGAGAAGAAGATCTTGACTTTCTTTCCCTTATGTGTTGAGGTGAGGACGAGACTTAGTGAGCTTCCACATCTTTCTCCATTACATTATTTTGAGTGGAGATTAACCGCAGGGACTCAGTAGGATGGTCGGCCGGGGGTTCTTTTGCAGCTAAAGTTTGATTACTGTGGGAGTCGATTTCACCCTACTGTCAAATAAATCGTAAATAAGGAAACTTCGGGAAAATCCTAAGTTTCCAGAGGAACCGGCTATCTGCGAGAACCGCACAACAAAGATTAAGATGACTAAAACACTTAGAATAAAAACGAAAATAAGAGAGGTTTGAAAGCAAGAAGGTTCTTATTCCGAATCTGCGTTGAAC